CTCTTATAAATACAAATTTTACAATTTCATATTTCTTTAGTAAATTAACTTTTATCATTCTTCTAAACAAATTAATTGAGCCAGCATTTTTATAATCACTTTCCAGATTATTCCCCAAGCTTATTCCTTTGACTGAAGTATTACATCTGTTCTTCAAATTTGTTTGAATTTTAGGTTTTACAAACATCTCTAATACCTTAATATTATAATAACTAAGTAAGTTATGACTCAGTAAGTACTTGTATCGGTACTCAGTATCGGTGAGTACCCAATCTGAAGTGCTTGGTGCATCCCTAGTTTCAAGGGTTTTGTGTTTTTCAATAAAATAAGATTAGAACATTGAAGGTGTGTTGTGACCTTATAATATCTGACAGTGTCAGTCTTTTAAAAAATTAGTATCAGCCAAAAACAGGATTGGCATGTCAGACKTTTTAAAGATTGGCGATTGGACAGAAAACTGTAGTCGGTGCTCCCCTAACAGAATGGCAATCCCTGATCTTACTCTACATCTTATACAGATAAGTTTTATTTGATCCAAAAATTCAACTGAACATTGTTTTAAAATCATCACAATGTAGACTATTTAGTTTTTATTATTGTCCTCTGCCAAATACAAATAACAATTTTTTGAGTCTGTCTGTGTGTGTTTTTGTTGTTAACAAAATATCACATGAATCTCTAAAGATTTCAGTGAAAAATTTGAAAGGTATCTCAAAAGTTGGGACAAGGGCAACAAAAGGCTGTAAAAATAAGCAATACAAATAGGAAGCAGCTAGAGAAGTTTTTTGCAACTAATTAAGTGAATGAGCAACAGGTCAGTAAGAGCATTTTAGTGAGGCTGAATCAAACAGAAGTAAAGATGAGCTAGAATCCTACATCAGATCAGAATGGAACTATAGTCCCCTCCCAAAACTCCAGCGACTGATCTCAGTTCCTAGACAGTTAAAGACTGTTGTTTAAAAAATATGGCCTTTCAATACATTTTAGAGATGTGTTTTGGTCATCAAATTTATAATTACCTTATTTTTATTTATAAAAAACATGTAAAAGGTGGTTTTTTGATAATAAATAGGCTATTTCAAATGATACATGAACAGTAGCTCATTAATTATCAGTCAGAATAAGAAAGATATAAAACTGCCCATGTCCTTAACACCACTGGAGTCTTTTTTTTATTTTTTGTGTTACTTCAGTAGAATACAAAACTAAATATTAGTTTATTTAGTTTATTTATTTCTTCATCATCAGTGACT